TTTGGCTCAAGATTTGTAATGAATTACCCAAATTCTCCAAAGAAATCCAAATTTATGGAAATATCACGCTTAATAAGTTGAGGCAAGCCATAGAAAACAAGTTAACAAGAGATTGTCATAAAAATGTAACATAGATCCATTATCAATGCCTAATATTATTTGAAAATGGATCATACCGATATACAATGTTTAGACTTCTTGAAGATAAAGATGTAAAGTCAATGTTGAAGATATTTGTCCAAAACCCTTACCTCACATGTGTTAAGTTATATGCCATTTTGGAAGATATTGATACACAATCGTCAATTATGTCGGATAATTTGTTACATTCTCTTGACTAAAGCATGAGTCTTATTATTATCAATACTCCAAAATTGTTGTATGTTGAGGTTTAGTAGTATTTATCTTTATTTTCTAGTTATTGACTTTTTTAAATTGATGTTCTTGTAATCGAATTATCTACACGACTATTAATGAAATTAATGTAGTTTGACAATTTTATAGATTATAATTTGTATTTTGAAACAAATAATCTCATTAATGTGGGTTAAAATGTTTAGAAAATGATAATTGTGAAAATACACTAATTGTCATACCTTCTACCTCGTTAACACGTTAGGAATATTATATAGCTTCATCTATAGTGATAGAAAAAGCAACGATTGAGATTGCACCAGCAAAATCAACGGATCAAATCGCATTGATTGAAATGCAATCCTTGTTCACATGTGTTTGAAATCTTCATCTTTAGTGATATAAAAAGCAATAGTCGAGATTGGACTGACAAAATTGATGTACCAAATCATACCGATTCAAATGCAATAACTATTCACATGTTAGGAATCTTACAAAGCTTCATCTTTAGTGACAAAAAAAAACAATGGTCTAGATTGCATCGACAAAATCGACAGACCAAATCGCATCGATTCAAATGCAATCCATGTTCACACGTATCAGGAATCTTATAGAGCTTCATCTTTAGTGACAAAAAAAATAATGGTTAAGATTGCACCAACAAAATCGATAGACCAGATTGCATCGATTGAAATGCAATAATTGTTCACACGTGTCAGAAATCTTACAAAGCTTCACCTTTAGTGATAGAAAAAGAAACGATTAAGATTGTACTTACAAAATTGATGGACCAGATCGCATCGATTCAAATGCAATAATTGTTCACATGTTAAGAATCTTATAGAGCTATCTTTAGTGACAGAAAAAGAAATGATCAAGAATGCACCAACAAAATTGACGTACCAGCTCGCATTGATTCAAATGCAATCCTTGTTCACATGTGTCAGAAATCTTACAAAGCTTTATCTTTAGTGTTAGAAAAAGAAATGGCTGAAATTACACCGATAAAATCGATAGACCAGATTGCACCGATTTAAATGTAATCACTATTCACACGTCATGAATCTTATACTTCATCTTTAGTGACAAAAAAAGAAATGGTCAAGATTGCATCGACAAAATCAACGAACTAGATTGCATCGACAAAATCAACGAACTAGATTGCACCGATTCAAACGCAATCCCTGTTCACACGCGTCAAGAATCTTACAAAGCTTCATCTTTAGTGATAGAAAAAGCAACGGTCGAGATTTCACTAACAAAATTGACGGACCAGATCGCACCAATTAAAATGCAATCACCATTCATGTGTCAACAATCTTACAGAGCTTCATCTTTAGTGACAAAAGAAGCAACAACCAAGATTGCACCAAAAAAATTGACAGACTAGATCACACCTATTCACATGCGTTAGGAATCTTATATAGCTTCATCTTTAGTGATAGAAAAAGCAATGATCGATATGGCATCGACAGAATTGATGGACCAAATCACACCGATTCAAATGCAATAACTATTCACGAGTCAAGAATCTTACAAAGCTTAGTCTTTAGTGATAGAAAAAGCAACGATTAAGATTAAACTAACAAAATCGATGAACCAAATCGCACCGATTCAAATGCAATCATTGTTCACATATCATAAATCTTATAGAGTTTCATCTTTAGTGACAAAAAAGCAACGATCAATTTTGCACTGACAAAATTGACGAACTAAATCACACTGATTCAAATGCAATGCCTACTTCCAAATGTTAAGAATCTTATAGAGCTTTGTCTTTAGTGACAGAAAAAAGCAATAGTTAAGATTACAACGAAAAAATTGACAGGCCAGATCGCACCGATTCAAATGCAATAACTATTCATGTGTCAGTAAGGGAGGATCATGGCTACACCACCACATACAAAAAAACGTGGTTGGCAAAACAAATGGCTATTGAAAAATTGTATAGAAATTGGGAAGAGTCATACACCAATCTTCCTAGACTGATTGAAGCCCTTAAATTATTTGTTCCTAGTACAATTTTTGAAAAACAAACATTACCAATGCATGATAAAATTGCACAACTCATTCTAGACAGTCAAATTCCGTCGTTTATTTTGGACATTTAAAGAATGCATTGATGGCTTTAGATACTGCAAGCTTATAGTTCAAGTTGACAAAACTTTTTTGTATGGAAGGTATAGAGGGGCTTTATTAGTGGTAGTTGCACAAGATGGGGACAATCAAATCTTTCCGATAACCTTTGCTCTTGTTGAAGGGGAGATGACAAATGCTTGGTACTTCTTCTTGAAGAACCTAAAAAGGCACGTCACGACACAAGATGGGCTTTGCCTTATTTCTGATAGGCATAGTTCAATAATTAGTGCATACTCACAACTAGGGAGTGGTTGGACACCAAACAACTTCGTGCATGTGTTTTGCATTCGACATATCGCACAAAATTTTATGAGACATTTCAAGAATGCAACACAAAAAAAAAAGTTGTTCGTATGGGTTAGTACTACAATTAAGTAACTACCATTTAATTTTAACATAGTTCAATGTTCTTACAAACTCCAACTTGTTTTTCTTCAGGGTATGTCGTGACACAGCCCAAGTTTAACAACCACTACTACATTCTAAAGGCAGTAAATGAATAAGCTTGTAACTACTGGGTTGATCAAATTCCCAAGCAACAATGGACACTTGCATGGGATGGAGGACAACAATGGTGACACATGACTACAAATCTTGTTGAATCCATCAATTCAATATTGAAGAAATCAATAAATCTACTGGTATGTGCATTAATAAACTCTACATACGAAAAGTGTAACGAATATTTTATCAAGAGGGGGAAGCAAGCGGAAGCAATGATGGCATCTTGTAGAGTTTATACAAAAACTCTATCATAATTCATTGAAAAAGAACAAGAAAAGGAAAACTCTCACTACATTAAACAGTTTGACAGATGCAATACACAATTTGTGGTGGAGGAATGACTAATGCATGAGAATGTCGAAGGGAAATTGAAAATTTTGCTGTAAGATTGGATCAATAATGGTGCGACTATGGAAAATTTTAGAAACTGCATATGCTATGTTCATACAGAATTGTTGCATGTAAGCACATATAAATTGATTACACAACATACATACATCTCGTATACATGTTGGATTATGTCTCCAACGCATACAAAGAATCATTCGGCCAAATGCATCACCAAGATTATAGGCCAACCTATCACATACCACAAATATGCTACAATGCAGACATGTGAATAAGTTCAAAAGGTCGCCCAAAATCAAGTCGTATTTGCACTAAGATGGACCTAAGAGAAAGAGGACAACCTAAATGTTGTTCTCTTTATCAAACCCCAGGACATTCGAAAAACAAATGTCCTCACCCTTGAGAAGCTCTAATCCACTCTAATAATGTCCACCTTTATTGTTGTATTTACACATTATTTTATTATTAAAAGTAAAAAAAAAGGATAAAAAAATTAATATTAATATTTTGTTACAATGTAAATTAATTATGTTATAAATTATATCATCATTAATTAATTTTATCTTCAAATTATACAAGTTAAAATTAATTAAAATATAAAAAATTGAGACAAAATACAAATCCATGAAAAAATAAAATATCATTAAAATACCAAAGTATATATTTAAAAATATAAATATAAATTTTTAATGATTCAAAATATCAATTAAAATACTCTTTTTGAAATTAAAAATAATTTCTATTCTACTATTAAAATATTAAAATAGCTATTTAAAAATTTGAATAAAATTAAAATTTTAAAAAATCATTAGAATTCGAGTTTTAAGATACCCGGGTACTAAACTGATTTTAAAATATGCTTGACATAATTCACACCGTGAATTTGAGTTTTGGAATCTCGAATTCACAGTTAAATAATAACGTTAGACTACTTTAGTATATAATAGGCAGAAAAAGTCATTTGTGTATATAAATATACAAAGAAGATCATTTAGAAAAAAAATTTATAAACAATATTTTTGTGTATTTGGATATATACATTTTAGGGTTGTATAATTGAATAAATTTAAAATACCCAAATTATAAACTGATTTAAAATAGCATGACATAATTAACATTGTGATTTCTGTTTTGAAATCTTGTTTAAAAAAAAATTATGAACAATATTTTTGTATATTTGGATAGATAAATTTTAAGATTGTATAATTGATTAAATTTAATTTTGTTTTTATATTTATGTAAACAATCCACAATTTAACATAAAGTGAATGATAATATCATTCTTACATTCTTTAAAAAAAATATATAATTTATATTAATGATAAAGTTAAATAGACAAAACATACATTTTAACATATAAATATAATATTCTTATTTTTATTGAGATAACAATGTCATTTATTTTATCATTCAAAATACTAAAATAAATATTTAAAAATTATTTAAATTATAATAAATCAATTTTATAAAATCTCGTTTAGAATTCGGGTTTTGAAATCCCGAATTCCAAACGTAAATGATGCATATATCGGATGATACAGAAGTGTGAATTCGGATTTTATAACCCAAATTTATGCAATCGTTTCATTAGTATCTACTAAGAACAGCAGGCTGCAGTCGTTTTCTGCAGGGAAATAAAATAAGAGGTGGAAAAATAGTGAGAAAAGAATTTGATCCCCGTATCTCATTTCATGTTTATTTAGTTTTATTTTTTTCTTCTGTGGCAAAAAAAAAATCATTTAGTTACACATTGCATGCATTGCACAACCAAGAAAACCCCGACATATATGAGACTGCTGAAACTGCAATACCTGAAGCCAATCCACGCAGGGTCTACACAAACTCTACCAAACAGATCTTGAAGTAGCCTCGTGACATTGTAGACATAAACCCCGTGCAGGGGATACCACGATCAATAACTGGAGTTTGTTTCAAAGATTATCAACGCAGATGGTTATTAAAATCTGCATAATAGAAAATAATCTTAAGAGCTTCAGCACAATCACATAATAACTTAGAGGAACTCCACCACTCTCGCATCCCCAAACTTATCTCAGTCTCTGAAGCACCTCTAATCTATATCCTCCGCACATAGCCACATGCGGTATAAATCTTTTGAGAACCCATGCTTGCAGTTCTTAGAAGTTTACGAAACTCTGGTAGGCTGATTTTCCCATCTTTGTCAATATCAGCTTCCTCGAGCAAAGGATCAATGGAGCCTTTCAAGCCTGTATGCTGAAAAGCAAAAAAGGAATATAAGCTGCAGCAACTATGTACATTGATTGGTTTTAACTTCATCTTCTAGCTAGGCACTTACAACCTAAAAGTAAATCTTAAAAAGAATTCAAATATAGGTAAGTAAACTGCAAGAGAACTATTTCAAATCTTCAAGAAATTTTTTCATAATAACTGTGTTAGCAGCTCGACAAAAGATGTGAGACCAACCATTCTAAGTTCCTCTGGAGTAATATAGCCATCTTTATCTACGTCAAATATCTCAAAAGCAGACAGTGACAGGTGCCGCCACTTGTCAGAGTCTTCCTCCAATTGATGCACATGTAATGTAGCTGCTACAAACTCACGGAAATCCACTAGCCCATCAGTGTTGCTGTCTATCTGCAAACACACAATATTGAATTAGCCCATCAGTGTTGCTGTCTATCTGCAAACACAATATTGAATCAACTATTTTTGCAAGCTAAAGATTAGGACAAAGCAACATTAGTGGAAAAGAGTGGTTTTGGGGGACCAATAAATTGTCATAGGAGTATTATATAACAAATTTTAGACCTAGAACAAAGGCTGAGAAACAGCAAACAAAACTATGTGTGTTGCTTGTAAAAGATCAAACATACTAACCGCTTGCAATATCTCTAGCACACGTGATTCTTTCAACCTCCAAGGAAGATCTTTGGCAAGAGCCTGCAGAAAATCTCCCCTTTAGCTAAAGTAGTGAAACAATATTTTAAGGGAATAATTTGCTCACCAATAGATAAGTGATGTATTTAGATACCAATAAATAAATGTATTTAGATTTAGTTTCATGAAGATGCACTGTCACTGTCAATATAAAAGATTTTACACTATCAACTAACTAGAAATCAGCTATGATATGATTTTTAGGATGATTATTATTATCAAAAGTCAACAAACTTAACATACGTGATTGGATAACAGTGAAAAAAACTTTTACACAATCTATACACGCACTTTTTTCTTAGACTTAAGTTAGTAACAAAGCCAGTAAATTAAAAGCTACCTGTCTCATCTCTTCCAGGCTAATAGAACCATTTTTGTCCACATCTATAGCGTCAAATTGATCTTTTAGATCAGCCAGCTCTTCTTCATTAAGTGTGCTTGCCAATGCCTGCAGGGTAATTGTTCAAATCACATGTTGAAAAACCTATAGCATTAGCCTTAATTAAACTAATTATTATAATCCTAGATATTTAGTGAAACCGGGAAATAAATCATGACAAGATAAAGAAATATGGTAACTAATCGTCTAATCCCAAGAGATAAAGAAAAAATAGGGAAACTAGCTCTAGAGGATAATCTAAAAGATATGACATGATATTTCCATATATTCCAACAGTAATCAAGTATCAAAAAAGCTGGACCTCAAACAAGTTCCATGGCTCCTGACATGAAAAAGGCTAGAATTAATTTCTTACCCTCAGTGCAAACTGTTTCAATCGACTATACTTCACAAACTGCCGCATGTTGTTCAGGACAGATATATCAATAGGAATCTCCAATGCTTCCCCTCCTTCTCTAACCCATGGATGTGCTGGAATTATCAGGTTTAAAACAGTTCAACATTAGGGAAAGCTTTTCTTACAAAAATGTTTTGCAAAGTAGAAAAACAGTAGTTTGACCAAACAAATTCTGTGAATAGATAATGCTACTTGAACAACACTAAAGATATGCTCAGAGCCATTGGATTCCATGTTTTGTAAGAGAGTTAGTTAAATTTAGTGACACAAAAACAATTTGAGATTTTATAGAGATAATGTAAATAACTTATATTCAGTCTATATTCTCTCCTCTACCTAAAATCCCATGATTTCAGAATGGTATCATCCTCCATAACCTGTTTCAAAATCCCTGCTGAGTCCCTCAGCTCCAGATCTCTACTTTATTTTCATGATTAATTCGTCAAATTAGCTTCTCTCCTGTTGTGTTTCTTCTTTGATGTTTGGTCACTGGTATCACATCTGCACTTAATTTGTTGATTTTTGGTTCTCATGCACCCTCGTTCTGGCTTTTCTAGGGCTGTTTGGTATTGTTTTTCTCTTCTCTAGTTGACCCTTGATCTCCTCTACTCAAAGCTCTCCTCTTAGGTTAAATCAACTACAGTGAGATTAGAGACATCAACTTGGCCCCAATTTGGCAGCATGGCCTTCCTAAAAATATTAGCTGACCTGGTGGCAGTCCCAAAAATCATCCTAGCACTGCCCTTCTACAGTTTAGTTTTTATATAGAGATTATTTGTTACAAGCTTAAAACTTAGTAAGCTAAGCCTTAACTTGAAGGGGAGTGTTAGAACATATGAAAATATCAAATATTATCTTGATCATATCTTAGATTATCCTTTAGGATTATTTTTCCTATTTCCTCGTTATCTCTTCGAATTGGTTATCGTATTTCTTTATTTCATGATTTGTTTCCCATTTAGTTAACATTATGATAGTATAGATAAGGGTTAGCACTCTAAGTTTTACAAACATATCAGATAGTAAAATGTAAAAATGAATTAATACCAATATCTTACATTCCAATTTCTTTCTCACATACGTTATAATACAAGTTTTATTGAGGAAGTGAAGAATGTTAGCAACACACTTTACTACAGACTGAAAGTTTTTGAAAGTTACAAATTTTGGTAAGTCTCACTTGTCATTTAATGAGTTTTTTTCTCTCTTGATTTTGTAGTTTTCAATAAATTTGAACCAATAATGAAGTGTGTTAAAAAAAGTATGCTCAAGAGTGTGTTGCTTGCAAGTGTTGCAAGCATTCCTCAATAAGAGAATTGGAAGTGACACACTCTAAAACACTCTTTGAAACACTCTACAGTTGACTGAAATTTATTGGAAATCACAAATTTTAATAGGTATCACTTATTTAATGAGTCTCTTTTTTGAATTTGTAGTTTTCAATAGGGCTTTGCAAAAGATTAATGTTTTTCAAAAAATAAAATGAACCAAACCATTTTATAGAAACAGTCCGATTCGAAACAAACCATTCTTATAAAGTGGTTTGGTTAGGATTTTTTTTAAAGGATTTGGATAGGTTTGGTTTGGATTTTTTTGGTTGGTTCAGTTATCTTTTCACACCCACGAATGGTTCAGCTTTTCTAAAGAATTGCACTGAAACTGAACCACTTTATCACTATGAACAGGGTTCAGTTAACCAAACCATCTCCGTAAAGTTGTTCAATTCATATTTTTTCAGAGTTTGGTTTTTTTTAGACCAGTTTGAATGTTTTATACACCTTAATTTTCAATAATTTTTAACCAATAACAAAGTGTTTGATGTTAACACTCTTTTTACACATAAAAGCTTTTTTAATCACATATATTGCATTCAATCAAACATTCAAAGACAAATTGATCTCACAAAAAAAATGAGAAGATAATATGTATAATTTAAATTATTACAAACAATTGAGTAATTGCTCATGATTAAAATACAAATTGTTCTGTGGAAACCAGAAAAAATTTCAACTTGAATTCTCTCCCTATTAGATGTATTCTCTCTGCATGAGAAGCTCCTAACCCTAATTTCACAAAACCCGCGTCTTCTTCCCATCTCGATATCACGCACTGCATCCCTGCTCGCAACCAATGTTGCTTCTGAATGGAGGAATTAAATCTCAACAACATGGCCATAGACCTAGACGATGACATGATTATTCCAGATAATGCTAGCAAGAAACCTCCCACGAAGTTTTCACTCTGTTTAGTGGGATGCTTCTTGACAGAGAGGAAAATACGCACAACAATGATGAAGGAAAGAATGGCGAAGTATGGCAACCACGGTGTGGGGTGTCTATACGCGAGATCGAACTTGGTCTCTTTCTCTTCCAATTCTATCACACCCTTGACATCCAAAGAATCTTGAAACTTGGCCCATGGTCTTTCAATAGATATCTACTCATTCTGGGAATTATCAAGGATGGAGATATACCAAGTCAAATTCCTTTATTCAAGGTCCCATTTTGGATTCAAATTGACAATGTTTCGATGGGTTTCTATTCTCAGATTGTAGGACAAAATCTTGGTAATCATATCGATGAATTCCTGGATTACGACGTGAAGAACACTCAACAATTCTGGAGAACCTATATGAGACTACGAGTACTCATAGATGTACGTCACACACTCAAGAAGTCTAAAAGAATCAAAAAGCAAGGAGGGGAGGCTATTGAGGTCATATTCAAATATGAGTGTCTGGGTCCATATTGCTTCTTCTATAGACTTCTTGGCCATCTCGATGACAATTGTGAAAGGTTGTTTTCCATGCCTCATGACGACGGAAAACGAAGCTAGGGATCAGAGCTTCGAGCAGATTCACGAAACACCATTGCAAACTCACGATGGTTATGTGAAGATTCTTCAGGATCAGAAATCCCACAATATACGGGATTTGGAGCATATCACAGAACTAATAAAGCAAATACTACTATTCAAAATATAGCAATTGAAAGTCCTGCGAATCAATGGCTACAAAAACATTATGATTTAATGAAGGAGATCTTAAAAAATCCATCCTTGCTAGCAATACCACCTCCTCAACCTAGCAATACTCAACAACCTGATAATGAAGACACTACAAGTATCCCTACCATGATCATCCCTGAAAAAAGAACCCATGATGGCGCAACGACCAGTAATAACCAAACCATGCATGATTCCTCAAATAGCGCCCAAGAAGATGAAGCTATTGATCCTTTTTTGCTATTGATAGCGTTGGTAAGAGAGGAGGCATAGCTCTTATCTGGAAACACCCATATTCTTCTCATCTGATCAATTATTCTCACAGTTTCATCAATGTTAAAATCACGCACCCTAATAATCTACCTAGGAGGCTTATGGGTTTTTATGGTTTTTCTGATGGAAATCATCGTAAGGAATCATGGAACCTTTTATGTTATCTCTCTCAAGACAGTTCTCTCCCATGGTGTATATTTGGAGATTTTAATGACCTCTTATCATCCTCTAATAAGAGAGGTCAACATAACCACCCAACCTAGCTCTTGAACGGATTTCGTTCTGCAATGGTTGATGTAGGGCTCATTGATCTTCCTCTTAAGGGCTATGATTTCACCTGGGTTTGCAACAGAGGCACTCCTATGCAAGTGGAAGAACGTCTGGATAGAGCCATGACATCTCAATCATGGCTTGATCTTTTCCCTCATTGCAAGTTACACACAACCATTGCTGCCAGATTAGATCATCATCCAATAATCCTGAAACTATTCCTCCAATTAAATCAGTGCAAGAGACAAGCATTTAGATTTGAAAATGCCTGGTTATCTGAACCTGGACTTCAGGACTTAGTAGAGAACAATTGGAAGAGATGGTAGTCCCCTGATATCTTAACAACACTTGCACCTATGTTCAAATGAAATTGATGAGTGGGGTAAACAAATTCGTACTAGATTCAAAGCTCCAATTGATGCATGTAGAAGAAGACTTATGGAGCTTAGAAATAAGCAGGACCTTGAATCTGCTCACATGTACACACATATGCAGAACCAACTCTCTTCACTTATTGAACAAGAGAATGCATTCTAGAAGCAAAGAGCAAAAATTTACTGGTTGAAGGATGGAGACATAATTTTTTCATGCCATGGCTAGTGCGTGCCAAAAAAGGAACACGATAACTAAATTAACAGATGATGATGACACTTCTACCTCGAATCCAATAGCCGTGTGTAATATTGCTCACAACTATTTCACACAACTTTTCTCACCCCAATTTAGTGATAACTCACATATCATAAATCTTATCAAGCCAAAAATTTCAGAGGAAGATAATGATGAGTTACATAAGCCTTTCTGCATTGAAGAATTCAAAGATGCACTCCAATAAATCTCCAGGCCCAGATGGCCTTAACCCTGGATTCTATAAAAGATTTTGGAATCTCCTTCGATCGGAAGTTTTTCAGGCAGGCGTTCAGTGGCTAAACCAAGGAAGCTTCCCCACGCAACTTACTAAAACTAATGTTGCGTTTATACCAAAAAAGGACAACCCTACGTCAATGAAAGACTTACGACTCATATCACTAAGCAATGTAATCTATAAAGTCATTTCAAAAGTATTGGCAAATAGAATGAAGCCCCTCATGGCCAAATATATTTCAAATGAGCAGTCGGCTTTCGTGGAGCATAGGTCCATATTGGACAATGTCCTACTCGCCATTGAAACAATCCATCATATGAAATGTAAGAAACAAGGTAAAGCAAGCGAGGTTGCTCTAAAAATTGACATTAGTAAAGCATTTGATAGGGTTAATTGGGCTTACCTGCAAGCTTTAATGCTAAAGTTGGGATTCCACTCTTGTTGGGATCATTGGATGAAGATTTGCATGGAGAGCACTCAATACATAGTTCAACTAAATGGGGAGGAGACTGAGTCTATAAACCCAGCTCGAAGTCTCTGACAGAGAGACCCACATCTCCATATCTATTCATAATCTGTGCTGAGGGTTTATCAGCTCTACTCCATAGTACAAAAGCTCGGGGTGACTTACATGAAAGCAAGGTTTGTATAGGAGCACCTCAATTGACACACTTGCTTTTTGCAGACGATTCTTTTCTTTTCTGTAAAACAACAGACCGAGAATGTAATGTCCTCAAGCTCATCCTCCAACAGTACGAAAATGCTTCGGGACAAGCCATCAATTTTCAAAAATCCGAAGTCTACTATAGTTTGAACACCCTACCTGAAACAAGGACTGGTATAAATAACATATTTGGTGTCACATAATGCATTGAAATGGGCAAATATCTTGGGCTCTTGGCCTACCATCAATGCTTGGACGCAAAAAGAAAGCTCTTTTTAATAATTTGAAAGATAAAATATGGAAGAAAATACAATCATGGATTGGAAGACATCTACCCAAAGCTGGAAAAGAAACGTTGATCAAAGCAGTTGCACAATCTATCCCATCATATTACATGAGTGTCTTTCTAATTCCCTCAAACCTACGTGATGAAATACAGCGTATGCTTAATTCTTTCTGGTGGGGTTCAGACAGGAACAATGGAAGAGGAATGCATTGGATGAGTTGGGAAAATCTATCAGCACATAAGGAATATGGCAGTTTAGGTTTTCGAAACCTCTACGGATTTAACCTAGCCATGCTAGGGATGTAGGGTTGGAATTTCTTATCTACACAAATGCTATTGTTACTAGGGTCTTCAAAGCCAAATATTTTCCCAAAGGGGACTTCTTGGCAGCCACTCTTGGACATAATCCTAGCTTTGTATGGCATAGCATCTTTGCTTCACGAGTATTGGCAAAAGAAGGAATCCGTGTAAATGCGTTGGAAGTGACTTTAGTATCAACCCTTGGTGCGATCCCCAGCTATGAAGACAAAATGGTCCTATGTTACATCTCAACCTACAAAAGGTTCACTCCACATGAAAGTAGCTGACCTCATTGATCATGCTTCGAAGACGAAATTAATTAACACCCTATTCACAATGCAGGACGCCCAAGACATTCAGGAAATTCCATTGCTAAGTTTGCATGAGCCTGATATAATCACTTGGACACTAAACAAGAAGGGCATTTACTCTGTAAAATCAGCATACTATCACCTGGAGAACCTTATCGACAATACGCATCAAAGAATTCCACGACCATGGAAACGTCTCTGGCAGCTTAAAATTCCTTAGAAAATGAAAATATTTCTATGGAGAGTTTTACGTGGGTGTCTTCCAACTCGGGAAAAGCTTCAATAGAAAGGAGTACCATGCACAATGATATGCCCTCACTGCAACAGGGATCAAGAAAATGAATAGCATGCTTTCTTCACATGCCATGCATCTCAAGAAATTTGGGCCTTCTCCACAGTTGGTCCTGAAGTGCAGAATCGTGTTAATTCAGGAGAAAGTGCAACAGGTATAATGTTTGATATGCTAAGCACTTTCAACAACTCATCATTCTCAGAGGTAGTACTAGTATTATGGTGTATTTGGAGAAGAAGAAATGATCAGGTATGGAACACACGTATCTCACTACCTCATATTGCACTTTCAACTGCCAGAACAACTCTAATGAATGGCGGCAGCATTGCACCAAATCAACTCCTATATCAAATTCAGTAAGGCATACAGTGCGCTGGCAAAAGCCTAGGGCAGGAACAGTAACATGCAACGTTGACACAACACTTTTCACTACCTCTAAGAGTTATGGTTACGGAATGTGCATTAGAGATGATAAAGGAGCCTTTATTGCAGCCAAAACAGGATGGCAGTATGGGTCCCCTATTGCAAGAGAAGCAGAATCTTTTGCTATGTCAGAAGCCATTAAATGGATAGTATCTCAAAACCTCCCCCAAGTCATCATAGAATCAGATTGCAAACAAATTATAGATGACTTACAGCGTACCACAGTCCACAATTTCCCCAATACACTCAGAATATGATTCTATCATTCATAGATGTCATTTGTTTCTTTCCAACCAATCGAACTTAACAAGAAAGTTCATTAGGAGACAAGCTAATCTTGTTGCTCATACTTTAGCTAGATAGTCAAGATCTTTTGCTTGTTCCTGTTTTTTTGCTTGGATTCCCTCATGTATTGCTCAGTTTATTTCTAATGAAATGGCTTAATTGTGTTTTTGTCAAAAAAAAAAAATACAAATTGTTCTCAGAAAAAGAAAATAAAAGCAAAATTTTAAAAAGTAGTCACATGATAGAAACTACAAAATGAGAATAATTTGGCAATGTATGACTTCTAATATTTGTGATCATTAACTTATATATTTGCATTAAATTAAAAAATCTTTTATTTTCTAACAATAAATTTTGCATTTAAAATGTGATGCATTTTGAATTTATAAATTCAATGCCTAAATTTTAGGTGTTATATAGGATAGCCTAAATTTTAGGCAGTGAGAGCATCATAAGTCATTATTATTATTAACTTTATCATTATCATCATTACTTTTTTGTTATCAGACACATATCACTTAAATGCTCAAATAACATAATAAACAAATACATACATAAAGCTTGAGCAGCAGTTAATCTCGCCCGAGGATCCTTTACCAATAATTTTTTAACAAAATCTTTTGCAGCATTACTTATAGTTGGCCATGGTTTCCGACGGAAATCGGGCTTCTTACGTAAGACCTGCATATATCAGATTATAAATTACACAAAATAAAAAAAGTTAAAGCATATTCCTTTGAAAAAACTCAAAATCAAGTGGACAACTAAAGTAAAGGTCATAGAATTATCATGTCATTAAGAAACAAGAATGGACAATGAGTCCCACATAAATTGGAAAAATCGGAAAATTACAAAATAATAATGTATTATACCTCTTTGAAGATACCATCCTCAGTCTTATCCCAAAATGGGCGCCTTCCACACAACAATATGTATGTAATAACACCAATACTCCACACATCTGATTGAGAGCCTGACTTACGTTTTAACACTTCAGGTGCAACATAGTAAGCACTGCCAACCATATCATGAAACTTCTTTCCTGCAGTTTTTAATTTTCAAAGATAGAGAACAAGAATTCTCAAATAAAAATTACACGAACATGTCTGATACTCAACCAAAGAAATAAGAGAACAAATCTGAAACAAAAACGGAAGAAAAGAAAAAGAAACAAATTAACCATGAAAATTAAGATTTTTCCTCACCAGGTTTTATGAAATCTGATAAACCAAAATCTGTGGCCTTTAAAGGTGAATCTTCTTTGGTTGATTTGAAAAGAAAATTCTAAATGAATAGGAAAAAAAAGTTATTATATAGCAGCATCTTGTAGAACGGATCATAGCTAGTTCACACAAATTTGGCAGTTACACAAATGTGCTTGATCATACCTCTGGTTTCATGTCCCGGTGCACCATACCATTTAAATGACACTCAGCTGCAACCTTGAGCATCTGCCTTACAACCACCGCTGCATCCTTTTCAGTGTAACGACTTTCCTTCCTGATTAAACAGATGAAGAGGAAGTAAGTTCTGGTTCGCAAAAACAACTTTTTGCCAAACACATAAACGTGGACCCACAAATCATTATTGACCGGTTCTACAATTTCAACATAGAAATTTTGAAGTGATACATAACCAAAATGAGTAAATCTCCAATTTAGTCCCTGAGATTCTAAGTGTTTGTCAGTAGTCACTATAGTCAGTGACATCAAAAAAAACTTTCATTTTAATCTCCAACTTCATAAAATGATTCATTAGCTCTACTATTCCACTACATTTTTTCATCGAATTAATGACTAAAGTGAACAATATCTTATAACATTAAGCAAAGTCAGAGACTGTAGTATAAGTTGTATAATGCAAAGGACTATGTGACAAACACTTCCAATCTCAAGAAATAAAGTGTTGTGGTACAGTAAGAAAAATAGCAAACACAAAAAAATCATACAAAACTTACTTGGCCAATATCCGATCTAGCAGTTCTCCACCCTCGCATAACCTAAGAAGCACATACATACATGTATAAAACACACAGGAAGTGAACAAACCACAATTTGATAATTCAGCTTCCCAAAGATAAATCCAGGACATATTTCAATGCTCAAAATCATAGAAGCACAAATTAGAATCAAATCAACTGCCAAAGCAACTTACTCCATAACTATGTACACGTAAGAATCATCGTCAAAAGCATTATAAAACTGAACCACATTATCGTGACCAGCGAGTGCTTTCAAAATCTTGACCTCTCGCTTAACATCCTCAACGGCTATAGGCTGAACCATCTGCCACCAAATTCAAGACATCACATCACTAAGAAACCAAATCAATTCCTAAAATAAAAAAAAAGGATGAATCTACCGAACACAGATCAATTTATTCCTCACTATAAGATTTAGAACTAGAACGACGATCACATTGAGAAGTAGGTGGAGCGAAAATAGAAATTACCTTACTCTTATCGAGCCTCTTAACTGCGACGCGATCGCCATTGGCTTTGTCGATTCCGACATAGGTGTAACCGAACTGGCCGTGTCCTAGCAATTTCCCCAGCGAGTAACGCTTATCGAAATCCTTCTCGTAACCGAATTCAGTGCGCTTACCGCATGGCCTCTTCTTCGGACTCGCCTTGCGCCGTCGACGGTTCGCCTTTACCGTCTCCGATTTCGGCTTCGCGGTCCCCTTGCCGCCTTGAATGACGGTGACGGCGTTACCATTGGCGTTGTCGTTGGCGTTGCCGATGGAGCTGCTAACTTTGGTGGCGGAATGGCAAATTCCCATGGTTAGAGAGAATCGAAAATGGTTAAAAAGTTAGAATTATAATGATTATGACGACGACGACGACGGTGATATATATATGTAGTGGCAGAAGTCATTCAATGGGGGAAAGAGAGAGCTTAGAACTGGGATAAGGAAGAAGGGAAGAAGGGAAGAAGAGGGCGGAGGAGAGGTCAAAAGAGACCTTTGAATGAGACCGATGACGGAACGGGGTGGGGTTGGGGATGAGACCACCCCCTCCCCCGAGCAACTACTTCGATGTAAATTAAATACGCTTTATACGCTTTAACTGCTATCTCTATGTGTTTATTTAAAAGAAAACTACAAACTATTCTAATCTGGGAAAAATATTTAAAATAAATTACTTTTTTTTCTTCAAAAATAATTTAAATAAGAATATCCAAACAAAATTTTAAAAAATTGTTTATTTTATCAAAAACAATTTTTTGGAGGACCATCCTTGAAGGTTATTGGACCTTTAGCAAGATTTATGACTAGGAAGCTAGAGAAAGCTCCTAGAGAGGATGTATTTCTTAGACTTTTGTTTATCATGAATATAAAATATGTGTTCACCTCATAGTTGTTTAGTCTTCTATTGTATATACTTTATATAGCTTGTTTTCCATTTTTTTGTATATAGTAGTTAAGTGTATATATTGTTTTTATCCTTGTAAAACGCGCCTTTGCACTGAAATTCGAAGTTCTTTCTATAAAAGTTTGCTCCGGAGGTATTTCTTAGCAATTCTCTCTGTTTTATTTATTTAATTTGTTTCATTCATAACAAATTGTTCATCATGTAAACCTTAAATATGTAAATAGTCAATAAAGGGGTAAATATTAAAATAATTGTTTATTATTATGCTAAAATCATCACAAGGTACAAAATTAGGGCGTTGTAGGATGCTTAACACCTTTCCTACGTATAATCGACCCCTAAATCTAATTCTAGCTATCAAGGCCATAATTAACTTTTTCAAAACCTTTTTCTTTTGTGATGTTTTGAGTAAAATATCGGTGGTGACTTTTAAGAACTTTTTTTCAAAAAATCATTGGTGAACGAATAGTCTAGTCTTCGGGTGTTCCTAGACTAATGAGATTTTCAAATAGAAGTCAAAACCATATGTGGGCAAGATCAAAATATTGTGAGTTCCGACAGATGGGGACTCCACTTGGAAAGCTTAAAGAGGGCCAGGCTCGTTAAATGACAAATTTAACAAAATAAAAACAATAATTCAAATATTTACCTCTTTTACCTTTTTTGCAAATATTTATTTTAGCGTGACTTTAATATATGCTTGCTTGTTTAAATTCATCGCTATGTTTGAAATAAAAATTATATACAAACCATTGCACACAACAATTCTCCCTACACCTGGGGGGCAAGAATGAGATAACCATAGGGAGTGGTTGATGTACAACCGACCCAAGTGATGGCCTTGAGCCTACAGGTCGTTGTCAAAAATCACAGTCAAGGTGATAATCGATTACTCAAGCTCGAAATACTGCGATGGACCATAGAGTCTACTAGGTGACAGCGATAGAGATACTGGATCCCTATAATGGGGGCACCTTAGGAGCCTTTTAAAGATCGGTGAGAATAGTTAGAACTACCCTATATTATGCACTTTTCTTCACAGGAACCCCAACCCATGGATTAGAACGTAACTGTTTATGGGTGTATGTTGTCTGAGCATTTGTTTATTACATTTGTTTGCATACCTTGTTTGTTTGTTTTAAATAATTCCCCTAAGATAAAGAAAAAATTTAAAACAAATGCATCATCATGTAAAGAGCGTATAATAAAAAAATATAAATAAATAAACAAAAAAAAAGAGACAGACATGCATCCCATGCACCTTTCTAACTAGGATCGCAAAGAGCTCTCTAACAAAGACTAGCAAACTCTGATTAGTGTGACCTTTGTCACATCGTAAAATATTACGAAAAAGAACACCAATGATCCACCTTTAAAGGAAGGGTCACCTAATCTTTGTTAGAAACCTCCTTCATGCATCTTCATTCATTAGACTAATAGAAAATTCCCCCCCCTTGAAGGTGGCTTTTCAACACTTCGTACTCATAGAGACTCAAAAGTGAAGATTTATAGAGGCCCTACAAGAAAGAAAATCTTGTGCTTAATGAGGAGCTCACGCAACTCAAAGAAAAAATGGCTCAAATGTTCGAAGCCATGAATAAGTTGCAACACGACGACAACAGTGCTAGTAATGTTGGAGATGCTTCCAAAGACCATTTGAATGCCTTGGAGGAAAGACTAAGGGTTGTTGAGGGTCATAGCTTTGACATCAAGGAAGCTGTAGAGATGTGCCTAGTACAAGGCATTGAATTCCCTTTGAAGTTCAAGATCCCTAATTTTCTTGTGGGACCAGCTGCCCAAGAGTTCATCTAATGATGTACTGTCGAAAGATGGCTGCCTATACCAATAATGAGAAGCTCCTAATACATGGCTTCTAGGAGAGTCTATTAGATGTCATTTTGAACTAGTAAATGCAATTGGATGGAGGAAAAGTCCAGACTTGGAAACAACTCGCTGATGCATTTCTCAAAAGGCTACAAATACAACATCGACCTGATACTTGACAGGTCAGATCTGTAGAGCCAGAACAAGAAAGGTGACGGACCTTTCAAAGCTTACACATAGAGATGGAGGGAGCTGGCTACACAAGTGGAACCCCGACTATCTGATAAGGAGACCGTGACCATGTTCATCAACTCCTTAATCGGACCCTATTACGACAAGATGATAGGAAATACGTCAACCCTTTTTGCTGACATAGTCACCATCGGGAAAAGAGTTGAGAAAGGCCTAAAGAGTAGGAAGATAGGGAAGGCTCCCATGAACCAGGACCTTAAAAAAGTCTTTCGAAAGAAAAAAGAAGGAGGAGTCAACGTAGTGACCTTCTCCGCTTGCCCTCAAGTGACTAGTGCCACACCTAGTATGAAGCCTAGAACAGATAGGGAGATTAATAAGATTCACACTACCTATGCAAAGTTGTTGCCTCAACTCTTGGAGGCTTCAATGTTAGTACGAATTCCCCAACAAAAAAGAGAGATCCACCCTATCTAGTATGGTACAAGCCCGAGGAAAGGTGCGATTACCACTCTGGATCCAGAAGATTGCAAGGCCTTATAGTATCGCGTGCAAAAGGACTCATAGATGCCTGATGGTTGAATTTTGACACCAATGCACCTAGCATTGACAAGCAACCACTACCCAAGTATAGTGAGAAGTGATCTTGGAGTGGCATGTTGAGAAGTTACTATAAGAGGGGTTCTCTAGTGGTTTTCGTTAATTTGTTTCTTTTCCAACCCATGACTCTCGTTCGTAGTCATGGGTCACACATTATAAGGGCTTGTATAAATTTTTATTTTTAGCATTAATAATAACATGTCTTTTATTCGAATCCTCTATTTATTCTTTTCTCTCTCCTTCTTTTCATTAAATTCTAAAAACTAATCACAAAACCTAAAAGCAAACATGATCAAGGAAAAAGAAGTTAATCAAACTCCAAATGTCCATGACGCATTAACTGAATTCGAGGAGGGCATCTCTCCTGACATACAAAGATTATTAGGCAAAGTGATCTGCATGATCCAACCTCATCAGGAAGGAGTCAAGAAAGTCAACCTCGAACAAGGAGAGGATAAAAAGGAAATCCTTATTGGGAAAAGATCAAAAAAGGGCGTTAGGTTCCAATTAACTAACCTACTAAAAGAGTATGTCGACATCTTCGCTTGGTCTTACCATGACATACTAGGTTTGGATTCTAAAATCATTGAGCACAAGTTACCCATAAACGAAGGAGCTCGTCCTGTAAAGCAAAAACTTCAAAGAGTTAAACCTGAATGGTTCCTTAAGATAAAAGAAAAAGTGCAAAAACAATTAGACACTGGGTTTCAAGTTGTCTCCCATTACCCCAAATGGCTCGCAAACATAGTGCTAGTATTGAAGAAGAATAGAAAGGTTCGGGTTTGCATAGACTATCGAGATTTGAACAAAGTAAGTCCAAAAGACGACTTCCCTCTATCGCATATTGACATGTTGGTAGACAATACTGCCACAAACACAATCTTTTCATTCATGGATGGATATTCGAGGTATAACCAAATTAAGATGGTTGTTGAAGACTGTGAGAAAACATCTTTTATAATGCCTTGGGGAATGTTCTGTTACAAGGTAATGCCATTCAAATTGAAGAATGCTAGGGCTACCTATTAGAGGGCCATAATGACTTTATTCCATAATATGATCCATAAAGAAGTTGAAGTCTATGTGGATGACATGATCACAAAGTCAAAAAGAAAGCATGATCACCTCATCCACTTCAGGAAATTTTTCCAACGCCTCCAAAAGTATCAATTGAAGTTGAATACTACCAAATGTACCTTCGGAGTCTGATTTGGAAAACTCCTTAGATTCATCATCAGAGAAAAGGGACTAGAGGTAGAGCCATATAAGGTAAAAGCCATCACAAAGATGCCTCCCCCTAAGACAAAAAAGGAAGTTAGAAGTTTCCTTGGGAGGGTAAACTACATAGCCCGATTCATATCTCAGCTAACAAATACATGTGCACCCATTTTCAAGCTACTATGAAAAAACCAATCAATAGAATGGAATCAAGAATGTCAACATGCCTTCGATAGGATCAAACAATGCTTGGTAAATCCACCAGTGTTGGTACCCTCTTGTCGAGGGAAGGCCTCTAATTCTATATCTCATAGTACTTGAGGACTCCATGGGATGTGTGCTAGGACAACAAGATGACACTAAAAGCCAAGAAAGGGCCATATATTATCTGAGTAAGAAATTCATTGAGTATGAAACATGATATTCACACCTTGAGAAGACTTGTTGCGCTTTTTTTTGGGCTGCCCAACGATTAAGATGGCATATGATAAGACACACCACATGGTTGGTATCTAGAATGCATCCCATCAAGTATCTATTCGAAAAACCTATACTCACTAAAAGGGTTGCCAGATGGCAGGTACTGTTATCCAAATATGACATTACCTATACCAGTCAAAAGGAAATCAACGGCAACACCCTGGCAGATTACCTAGCCCACGACCTAATAGAGGAATATCATCCTTTACAAGATGAATTCCCCAATGAAGAAGTCTTAGCCTTGGGTGATGAAAGAAAAGGACAAGCTAATGGCAAAACCTGGACCATGTTCTTTGACGGTGCCTCAAACTTGATGGGGCATGGGATAGGTGTCATTCTAACATCACCCTAGGGAAGGAACATTCTGGTGATAG